AAACAAGCACGAATGGGTAATCTATCCACAGGGAGAGTAGGAGCAGACAAGCACAGACATTAGAGGTGTGGAGGACTGGATAGTGAAGGAGCCTGAGAGCAGGGGATGGGGTCTTTTATCAGATCCAGCACAGGTCAGTAACGAGTGAAGGTTGTTTCCATTTGGCGACTGTCTGAAATGAGCTTTGGCTGCCTCAGACCAGTTCTCAGTGGACATGAGGTTCACCATCAGCAGTACTGATAGATTCTGAAGGGAGGCTAAGAAATGAATGGATCTTGTGGAGTAAACTCCCTTCTCCAAAAATGTGCCTCCTTCTCCCCCTATCATGACCTGAGGACTAAGCCAGTTAGTCAGTTAGGCTGACATATATCTGTGTCTGCGCCTCTTCTGCCGTTTCAAGGAATGACACAGATGTGCACTGTATAACACCTTGTCCGTCAGGTTTCTATTTAGCAATGGACATAAAATATGTCTCACTCCATAGCTCTTGCTTTTTTCAGAACTGGTTTCCCTTCACACTCATTTTCCTTCTAAAATTATTATTTTAGTTGAGATCCTGCAGAAGTTGATGGCTCTTGCCTGACAGTTTTCTGCTCACCACAAGCCAGCAGAGCCCTGCCCTTCTGATCCAGATGTGAGGCCTGTCAGTGTTGGAGCACATAAGTCAGCATAAGAGAGAACTTTTAATACCAATGCCAGTGCTGAATATATGCCGTGAATTCAGTCAGCATCAGAGCTGTCCTTGCCATTAAACAGATTGCGTAGGGCACCTGAAAATTTGGGGCACTATTGGGTCTTAATGTCCACCCGACTGCCTCTTCTTATCCCTGTTCTGCAGCTCTGCTTCCTCCAGAGAGGATCTAGTGAATTTAAAAGTGAAAAAGCCTGGCAGACCTATTGGCAGGACACTGACTCTGTGAAAGGGCCATTCGAGTGGTAATGAAGCCTTTCACAAGCTGTTGCCAACCCCAGTTATTTACCCTCAGTCTCTGAATTTACTGTGTTAGTAAATTCAGTTATTAGTTACTAGTTAATCACTTACTAGTTATTAGTTAATACTACTGCATAGGGCCCCATAAATCCTAAGGGTGGCCCTGACCTGCAAACAAGAAAGGCCCAGTTTTGCCCTTCTCGCTGGGAACACTACTTGGCTACGTCTACACTGGCCCCTTTTCCGGAAGGGGCATGTAAATTTCACGAGTCGTCGTAGGGAAATCCGCGGGGGATTTAAATATCCCCCGCGGCATTTAAATAAAAATGTCCGCCGCTTTTTTCCGGCTTTTAAAAAAGCCGGAAAAGAGCGTCTAGACTGGCCCCGATCCTCCGGAAAAAGTGCCCTTTTCTGGAGGCTCTTATTCTTACTTCAAAGAATAAGTAAGAATAAGAGCCTCCGGAAAAGGGCACTTTTTCCGGAGGATCGGGGCCAGTCTAGACGCTCTTTTCCGGCTTTTTTAAAAGCTGGAAAAAAGCGGCGGACATTTTTATTTAAATGCCGCGGGGGATATTTAAATCCCCCGCGGATTTCCCTACGACGACTCGTGAAATTTACATGCCCGTTCCGGAAAAGGGGCCAGTGTAGACGTAGCCCTTTTGTCTGCTTGTTGAAATTCATTTTCTCACCAGCAGAGGTCAGGTCACACATACTTTCCTAGCAACTGTGCTCTTCGTCTTTTGCTTTTTACATTTCCCAGCTGTCCTTTTTAGATACATGTTACTTACAGTTTATAACAAATGCCTGGTTCTAAACGTTCTGGGAATGTTGTGTTGTTGAGAGAGAACGCATGGTCTGGAGTGATTGTAAAACATGAAGTAGGTGCACTTCAGTGAAGACTACATAGAACACCTTCAATGCGTGTGCAAGTCTGATGTCCAGTGTACTTTACACCTGTTGTTTTACTTTACTACCATAGAGCTGAGTTGTTAGACTATAAAGAATTTTGAGATGGCAATAAATTACTTTCACAAAAAACAAACAAATGAAACACAAACAAACAAACCCCCCCGTGACGTTAATCCACAGTAAAGAACAGCGGGCTCCTTGACAGGTTAGGAGTTTCCATATAAGGCCAGGAGGTTAGTAGGAGGAAAGTGACTAGGTGACCTTAAAGAGGCCAAGAGAGAGGCAAGCATTCCTGGTGAAGCTGTGAGACCCAGTCTTTAGCATCTCTCTTACCACGCTGGGGGACAGCAGGGACTGGTAGTGGAGTAAAACCCCAGTGGCTGCTATCTGCTCCAGCCATTTCCTGCTGGCATCTCTGCTGCTCTCTTCATACTCCCCGTTGTTGTTGTATCTGTAGCTGAGAGCAGCCAGCAACTGCTCAGAAAAAGTGCAAATAGCAGCCACGAGGGATTGGCAGAAAATGACGTCTCGTCTCAACTGCAGCTCAGTATCTGCCAGAGAGGGGAAGAGAGGCATAAAGGAATTAGAGGAAGTTTGTCTTCCATTCCGTCTCAGTCTCTCTGTATGACCTTTGGCTTGCTCTGAATCCCGTTCTGTCCCCTATCGGGAGTGGGTAAGAAAAGAGGATTTTCCAAACCTTGTGTTTCTCCCTTGTGTTTCCCCCCTCCTGTTGCCCTGTACCTGCTTGTCCATTTGTCTGACTGAGAGAGGCTAAATAAGGCTCCCCATGTTATCAGTGCCAGACGTGGCCGGATTCCTTTAATTGACAATGGCATTCGTGAATCAGGATCTCCACTCTTAGTGATGCTACTTCCCCTAACTCCCATATCCATTAACAGGCATGCCTATATGGGACCACTTGGTTCATGTTTGACTGGCAAGCTCGGTGGGAGCACGGTTAACACTGTGGAGATTCCACAAGGCAGTCTTATGCAGGCCGGATAAACGGTGTCACACTTAAGGGGATTGCAGCTTATACAAAGAACATGCAAAGGGCAAGAAAAGGAAACGCATGAATAAATGAAGAGCGGCTTCCCGGGGGCCTTAGGTTCCTCCTAGTACGCCCTAGGTAGGATGAACCAGCCTCTCGCATTCCTGAGAGAGTGTTTTCTGCAAAATGAAGCTGAATATATCACACCAGGGCTTTGGAGAGACAGATTACTTGTATGAAGCATGAAATGCAACAATAAATGAACTAAGACAATAAAGACCAACAGCCAGATCCTCAGCCTAGGCAAATCTTCTTTGTTGGAGGTGCAGCAAAGAGAGCTCAAAGCTGCCCTACCGACAATCGAATCCCTGGGTCACGTAAAAAGGTGGCATAGCCAGCTCCACACCACTGCTCCTACACCCAGGCTGTGTCTACACTGGGCCACTTATTCCAGAAAAGCAGCCGCTTTTCCGGAATAACTTGCCAGCTGTCTACACTGGCCGCTTGCTTTTCAGGAAAAGCACTGACGAGCTACTGTAAAATTGTCAGTGTTTTTCCGGAAAAACTATGCTGCTCCCATTCGGGCAAAAGTCCTTTTCTGGAAAAACTGTTCCGGAAAAGTGCCAGTGTAGACAGCACAGTAGTCTTTTCCGCAAAAAAGCCCTGATCGCGAAAATGACGATCGGGGCTTTTTTCCGGAAAAGCGCATCTACATTTGCCACGGACGCTTTTCCGGAAAAAGTGCTTTTCCAGAAAAGCATCCTGCTAATGTAGACGCGCTTTTTCCGGAAATACTTATAACGGAAAACTGTTCCGTTTTAAGCATTTCTGGAAAAGGATGCCAGTGTAGACGTAGCCCCAGTGTATATTTTTGCCCCCTTGGAACGATGATGCCTGCAATGTATGTAGGTGCAAATTTAGGGTACATCTACACTGCAAGATAAGGCCAGGGTGCAAATTCACACTCAAAGAATACCCCCCTTCCATCTCCTCACAAACTGCGTTAAACCAGAGCTGAGGATCTCAGGACACTAAGCAGGGGTGCAAGGTGTACAGCTAGTTCGGATTGGGAAGCCTAATCCGAACTAGCTACTCCGTGCCGCGTGTAGCCGCGCGGCACGCAGTCCGAACTAGCCGGCATTTAAAAATGGTGCCGGCCGGCATCATGCAAATGAAACCCGGGAAATTCAAATCCCGGGCTTCATTTGCAACTCTGAATGGCTACATTACCCCCCTAGTTCGAACTAGGGGGCTAGTGTAGACATACCCCCAGAGATTGCTAATTTATGCTCTTCTAACCCTGGTCTTACTGCTCTGCAGACCATACCCTTAGGCTACATCTACACTGCAGGCTTTTTGCACAAGAATGGCTGTTCTTGAGCAAAAACTTGCAGAGCATCTACACTGCACGCACATTCTTGCGCAAGTAAATTTTCAGTACAGCGTCGGAAAACAGGGCTTCTTCCGGAAGAGTTTTCCGACGCTGCTGCATAGTCCTGTCTTTTGCTTCTGGCAGGTCTGTTTGTAAAGAATGAGGGTTCCACAACCTCAAAATGAATTGTGCCATAGCTTCTCACTGTTTGCTGCATTGTCTCCACCACATCAAGAGCCAATGGAGATCAACTGGGACTGAGGCTCACGCAAGGGGAAGAAGATGAAGAAAGGGCAAAGGGATGACATTTGCAACATGCCTAGTGATACTGGAGCATAAAGTGAGCAACCCCAAGACTAAAGAAGACTGAGCAAAAAGGCAATGGAAGTAAGAAAGAGCTGGCCAGCATGAGGCACACAAGAGATGGCATAATGTCATCACTGCACTCTGAGTGTACCATTACTTGGCTAATGTGTTGTGTGCTCTGTAACTGGAGATAAGAGATTCAAATAAATGCAGGCAGGCATGCATTTATAAATCAATAAATGCTTTCAAATAAAGATGCTGGCCAAACTACACACTATCACACCAATACCAGCATGGCAATGTTTCCACCGATACATCAAATCAGAAGCCCTTACCTGTGCATTTTAGCAAGGCCAGAAGTAGTTGATTCTTCCCATCTAGAAGAGTAAAAAGAAGAAAGATACTGATAAACATGACGCAAAGATGGATTTGACACCCCTTCTTTGTTTCTATCTAGTCTAGAGTTAATCCTCACTAAGGCTACGTCTAGACTGCACTGCTTTTCTGGGCTACCGCATCCAAAGAACATTTTTCGGAAAAAAATTCAAAAAAGCGGACGCGCTCTTTCGCCATCCCTGTAATCCTCGTTTTACAAGGAATAAGGGATGTGTCGAAAGAGGACTTTTTTCCGAAATTTGGCGCTGTGTAGATGTGCCAAATTTTGGAAAAGCCTCTTTCAACGGTAAAGCAAATTGCATCTCTTTTTCCGATTTAACCGTGCAGTCTAGACGTAGCCTAAGACACAAACAAGAAGCGAGGCATAAATCAGACACCTTATTATAGATTAAATGCTCTATCGACTACCATGAATTATTGGGAACAAATTGCACATGTAGAGGAATCCCTACAGAGGTGACCTCAGGGCTGGGTCTTGCACTTGAGAGTAGACATCACTCTCAGTCATTCTACTTGAATCAAAAGCACAGCATTTTGTGAATGTAATGGTTCAGTGAGTTACGGGGACTGATTACATCCATCTCCACTCATCTCGTTTCAGAATCAGCTTAGTGTTTTTTCTATTGCATTTTCTTTACGTGTTTTTAATAATGACACAGGCAAGTAAGTCACGCTGGCCCAATTCAGTCCCTAGCGACTTCGAAGCAGATTACAAAAATTAAAAAAAATTCCTCATGATCATTCAGTCCACAGTTGTGGTGCTGCAACACATCATCACTGGGAAGAACAATAACCCACTCTCCCTACTCCCCGCTAAAATCCAGGTTAATTTATTACCTATATTTCCATTCCCATATTAAACATAGGGAACAAAATTAACCTAGACTGGTTCACTAGGGTCATGTCTATACTAGGACATTATTTCAAAATAATAACTCCCGAAATAACCACTTTGAAGTAGCACTATTCCTCATAACAAGCAGAAGTTATTATTTTGAAATAACGGGCTGGGTAGTGTGGACGGTCTGCTCGTTATTTCAAAATAAGGGGAGTTATTTCGAAATAACTCCCTAATGTAGACCAGGGTTAGAAGTCCACCTAACACAGCATCTTGCCTCCAAACTATGGTCCGTAATAGCTCCTTCCAAGAAAAGTGCAACAAAAAGAGTGCTTATTTTGTGCCAGGCACCTCTAGGCTTGACAGTTCAGAGCTCCAGCACTTCTGGGCTTGCTACATTAATTATGAAAGTAAAAAACTTGCTTGAGCCCCAGCATCTAATTGCTTGAGTCCTGGGTGTCTCTTTCATGCAAAGTAAGCACTGAACAAAAATATGTGCGATGCAGTTACAGAATAATCTGCCCCCTCGCAATGTTTCCTCCTGGCCCTAATAGTTAAGATGTTGACATCTGCTCTTTAACACAGGGCAAAAATAAAGGAAGAATTGGATATTTTGAACCCATTCCATTTTTAATATTCTTGAAAGTTGCTGGGGTCCTAGGGAAGGAAGATTTTTCCAGTTACAATTTTTATCTTCTCAGCCAGAGATGGGCCAAAAACAACATCAGCACAACCACAAACAGTGGAGATGCTTGGCTCCAAACTCTGTAAGTGGCTCGTAGCTCCCTAATGAGCTGAACAAAAACTTCAGACCAGACTCGCTCCCCCTTTTTATTCACATCCACGAGCTTTACAGCTTGTACTCATCTCTGTAAACAAAACATGCCTGTAACACTGAAACTGATAAATGACCACCCCCATTCACAGACCTTCCACATGTTTTTGAATGGTTTCAACAAGGTTCTTTATACTCAGTGGAAGGTTCCAGGGGTCTTCTTGGACACTGAATTGAATATTATTCCGGCATCTTATTGTGGTTTCTTCTTTCTGTTTAAATTCTGCAGCAAAATAGACAATTTAGTCCAGGGAGTGGAGAGAGGCCACATAACTCAGCATAGCTCATTAGCTATATAATTTGCATATAGGTCTAACCAATGAATACACCATCTATATCAACCATCAGTGACGGAATTGCTTAAATGGGTCTGATACAGATGGAAAAAAGAGTGTGATTTGCATAGTCTTGTAAAAACCAGTTCTAGCTCATTATATTTTTCAGTCTCATACACAAAAATTAGGCATGCAACTCACAGGCACAATACACAGGAATTGCGTGATTTGGTTTTTTTTTTTTTTTTTTTGGCACTATATTACAAATATATCCCTAAGCACTATGGCTACAGAGCTAAGCTCTGCATTCCCCTCTGTTCTCTCTGTCCCTTCTAATGTATAGTCAAGTGTGTTTGTGTCACCTGCAGGGGGGATCAGACCAACCCCAAGATTGACTGTCACACTTACTTAAGGCTGCAGCTCCTGGGAACGTGTAAGTTAGTTAATATTCTGCTTTGCTTCACCAGGTAGAATCCTATGTTTTTTGAATTGAAGAAGGTAAATTTGATTCCCTGTGATGCAATTATGCAGTTTAGCCAAACAGTCTGGTGTCAGTGATAAAGCCCATGGCCAGGCACATACTGTGTGCCACATTACTATTTCCAAAAAGAGACAGGATGATATGCAAATTCACATCCATCGCTGAGATGTGACCACACTAAGCTCTCCTTTTCATGCTCATTTGCAACTCAGGGTGCCTCAAGAAGATACTTTGGGCAAAGATTCCAGCTGACTATAATCAGGGTTTGTCTATTCCTGTGGTGTGATTCCCGGTGATTAATATGGGACCATCCTGAAGTGTCAGTGAACTGAAAGGCTCTTTCAGTGCAACTGGTCCAGTGTGAATAGACAAGTCTGTGTGTAAGTGAACAAACAAAAGAAAGCTTGAGGGAAATATATGCAGGGTGACTGCCATTTCCTTATTGCATTCAAAGAGTGTAAGGGCAGTGGCAGGTATTTTACAGCTGTTTAAATGTCACAGGAACATGGCTTTTTCCAAACATTTCCACAGCGTTGACAGGAACCTCTCCTAACTCTGAAGAAGAGAGGCTGCACACTTTTTAAAGTTGCCAATGTGGCTAAAAATAGGGGCTAAAAAAGAGAGAGAGAGAGAGAGACTCTGACCAGAACACATGAAGATCAGCCAAAATAACAGAAGAGAGTTTAGGTTATAAGAGGAAAAGGAAATGCAGCAAATGTTTAGGAAATAAAAATCCTTTTCTGAGGGAAAAAGCCACATTCCGGTCACCAAATTCATGAGACCAAATTCCCATCATCCTCTTTGAGGAAAAAACCCACAGCATTATTTGTGTGCTCTCTCTGGGAATGGCTGAATTTCCAAAATGTGTGTTGGTATTATTTGATGATGAGCTTACTTTGGCAATTAGCCATCCCCAAAAAGAAGTGGAGTAATTCCTTAAGTAAACTTATGCAGAACTTTTGGGTGCCACAGAATTGCAGTAGCTGAGGGTGTGTCTAGACTACATGCCTCCTTCGACGGAGGCATGTAGATTAGCCAGATCGGCAGAGGGAAATGAAGCCGCGATTAAAATAATCGCGGCTT